TAGAATTGATGAGTTGTAGCTACTACTGAGCTGCAGAATGTGAGTTTGTTCCTGTTTGAGAACCTAACATATATTAGTCCGAGATCCGACTCCATTCAAAAGAAATAAATCCTCCATTTATTTTTTTGTGTATCACACTTGAGCTAAAGAATTTCGCACGACATCTGTAATTTATGCGAAACGGAAGTCGATTTTTGTTGGATTCATTTATTGCATACATTGGCGTATGGAGACCAACAAAGGAAATAAAATGTGTAAAAGCAGAGCGAAGAAAAATCAATTGAAGGCGACTGATCCAACTGCATTTGATAAGACACAACTTACTACTATTTATGGTCAGACATATGTCACAGCTATGCTTTGGATGTTTGCTATTTGATTTAACAAAGCAGTATGTTGCTATTTTTATTCAGTGTATTTTTCGTTACTTATTCAGAAGTAGAGTTTATTGACTGACTCTTAAGACGTTGATGCTTGAAATAAGAGTTCAGTGGAAGAGGCGATCCCACCATTACGATTTCTACAATGCATGTGCCTTTGTGACCTGTTTGGAATTTGATTCGCTGTTAAGGTTCACTTACAGTAAAATTTGCCCGAATGCTTTTTATATGGCTTTTGGCATCTTATTGTTAAAATTCTATAGAATGTACATGCAAACGGTGGAATAGAACGTATGAAATGAGTTTTATGATGTGCATTGAGAGTAAGTGTTTGTTCGGGAAATTTTGTTACTCAGATATAGGATATGCAGGGATACCAATAAAACAGTATCATTTGTCAATTAATGACACCACTATCGTAAATGTCAATGGAAAATCTTTGATATTTGCAAATGCAAGTAAATTTTTAGTGGCAGCTTGAATATAACTCGACCTCACTCATCTTGGCTTTGTACTGATAAAGGTATATATATATATATATATATATATATATATATATATCACGTTTACGGCTTACAGTAACAAATGTCAGTATGAACGACATCTACTTTTTACTGCCGATTGCAATCTTTACTGCCTAAATAAAACATAGAAGCTATGACCATAGAATTTCAACCATACAGTTAAATAATCATTTATCCAACAATTAAAATAATCTAAGTTAACTGAAGTTGAAAATATGTCACTGTAACCCACACGATTGATCTGAAGGTGATGTACTGACTTCAAATTACTACTGAGCAGTCCGTTACAGCTTCATTGATGTAAAATGTGGATCTGATGTAGATGTAAAGGCGTGAATCAGCAAACTGACAGTTACATTTTTACAACTGAACTACATCTGGAACTCAAAACAGCGATCAACAAACACCAAAGTTAGAATTTTCAATAGAAACGTGAAGTCAGTTGTCCTACTGTATGGGGTAGAAACTTGGAAGACTATCGAAGTTGTTATCCAGAAGAT